AATAATTATATTTTTGTTTGCTTATAAAATTTGGTGTCTAGGTAGAATACGCCCATGAATTTTCCGAGTTTTTATGTGCATTAATGCTTGAGAGAAGTAGATAGAGGGTGGTTAAAGGGGTTGATTTTTGATCTGTCCCTGTTGAATTTTGACCTAAAAGTGTAAATCTTTTAGGTGTATATGTATGATTGAACTATACAATATAATAAATGACCCAAAAATTAAAAAAAGAAATGTAGGTTGAACTCCTAGTGGGATATTGCAGATTTTGATTAATACATTGAGAGGATCCAGCTTGCATGTTGAATTTTACGCCCAGCAGTGTGAAAGTGATAGGAGTGATGCTGATGGGTTTGTGACATAATTGAATAATTAATCAATCACTCACACTCACAATTCTTAATTTCTAATTGTTCAATAAATTTAATTGGCTGAACAATTATTACAACATTCTGTGGTTTAAATCAAATGTAGAGGTCAAGACAATAACACTTTTCTGGCCAGTTACCACATTCTTATATGGCAATTCATTGCTTTTTTTCCTCTAAAGGTATTGGTAGTTTAGTACCCGGTATTACTAAATCATTTTTTAGCATTGTCAAACTCGGTCAACATAATTTTCTTTATCGACAAAGTTAAAATCTTTTAACTTTGTTTGATAAGAATTGGGTCTCTTCCACTCGATTTAATTGTTATTGATGATGATAATAATATATTTTTTACTTCTTAGTTTATGAATAAAATTATGTTGTGGAGTATGCATTTAAAAGCATTGAGAAATAAATTCAAACTACCCGACACATTATAGGTACCATCCCTTTTTTTTTTTAAATAGGTACCATCTTATGGGCCTAAATATTCTTATTGGTCCCATCTGATTTGTAGTGTAAAATAAAAAGGACTTTTATCGTGAAGTTTTGGGCCCATAAGAATTAATACTTAGGCCCACAAGAATATTGTAAAGTGTGGACTCATAAGAATATAATACATGGGTCCAAATTGAATCGTTATTCCCCATTTTTATGGCTTATAAGAATAGCTTTCCCTTGTCCATTTCAGACGGATATTGAAACTTTTTTGAATAATTCATTTTTTCCCTGTAATATATTGATATGTTTATGATGATTTGTGGTCATTGTAGGTGGTTTCAACAGAAGCAAGAGCAATGTACAATGTGGGATTAGCTGGTCTAACATATTGGTCTCCAAACATCAACATATTTAGAGATCCAAGATGGGGAAGAGGCCAAGAGACTCCCGGAGAAGACCCCTTGCTCGCCAGTAAATACGCGACTGGGTATGTTAAGGGCTTACAACAAACCGATGACGCCGATTCGAACAAGCTCAAAGTTGCTGCTTGTTGTAAGCACTACACAGCTTATGATTTGGATAATTGGAAGGGTGTTGATCGCTACCACTTCAATGCTGTGGTAATCTATATGGTTCAAATCAATTTTTTTTTCCCTTTAGGCTCTTTTAAAGGCAGAAAAGACTAAAGAAATCATATATATTTATTTATTTATTTTGGTTAGGTGACACAACAAGATTTGGATGACACTTTCCAACCACCATTCAAGAGTTGTGTGATTGATGGGAATGTTGCTAGTGTCATGTGCTCCTATAACCAGGTTAATGGGAAGCCAACCTGTGCAGATCCTGACCTTCTTAAAGGAATTATTAGAGGCCAATGGAAACTAAATGGGTATAAATCTAATTATTCTGATATGAAAAAATTTACCAAGTGTTAAGTCATGTGTAATACTAATATTATTTTGATGTGTGTGTATATATTGGAATGTAGGTATATTGTTTCAGATTGTGATTCAGTTAAAGTGCTTTTTAATGACCAGCACTATACAAAGACTCCTGAAGAAGCAGTAGCCAAATCCATTCTCGCAGGTGTTAAAAAAAATTACAAGATTCCTTCAATGATATGCAATAGATGAACACTAATTGGTTATGCAGGTTTAGATGATATGCCTGCTGACTTTACTTTGTTATCTGCAAAAATGCGAATGGATGGACAGGCTTGGACTTGAACTGTGGGGATTTCTTAGGGAAATATACAGAAAATGCAGTGAAGCAAGGGCTTGTGGATGAAGCATCCATAGACAAAGCACTGTCCAACAACTTTGCCACTTTGATGAGGCTTGGTTTCTTTGATGGTGACCCAAGCAAGCAGGCTTACGGAAACCTTGGTCCCAAGGATGTGTGCACTGAAGCGAACCGAGAACTCGCTCGAGAATCTGCGAGGCAAGGGATTGTTCTGCTCAAAAACAGTCCAGGATCACTACCTTTTGATGCCAAGACCATCAAATCTCTAGCAGTTATTGGACCCAATGCTAATGCCACTAGGACCATGATTGGAAATTATGAGGGTACAAAAATTCTCCACATCTTACAACTATTCATGATTTACTCATAAAGTTTTGAGAAATTACATGAACTAAAACTTAGCTTGACCTGCAATACCCACAGAATTTGTGTCTTTTTTTTTATAGGCATCCCTTGTAGCTACACTTCACCATTGCAAGGGCTAACAGCACTGGTTTCTACAAGTTATGCTGCTGGTTGTGCTGATGTGCAATGCGCGAGTGCAGAGCTAGACGATGCGAAGAAGATTGCAGCTTCTGCAGATGCAACTGTGCTTGTTGTGGGAGCAAGTTTGGCCATAGAGGCAGAGAGCCTTGACAGACTCAACATTCTTCTTCCAGGGCAGCAGCAACTTTTGATCAGCGAGGTTGCAAATGTGTCTAAGGGACCTGTGGTTCTTGTCATCATGTCTGGTGGATGCATGGATGTGTCCTTTGCCAAAAGTAATGATAAGATCACAAGCATTTTGTGGGTTGGTTATCCTGGCGAAGCCGGTGGTGCTGCCATAGCTGATGTCCTTTTTGGATTTCACAATCCAAGTAAGTCTCTCATACTCTCTTCACATGACATCTTCATGTACACACAACGTGCTTATTCTTAAGTAGCTAATTTAAGCTCTAAATTTGATCCTTTAACTGCATATATAATCATACATTCCAAGAGGGTAATAGAAAAATGTGAACTTTCTAACACAAAAGAATGAACTTTCTTAATGCAGGCGGGAGATTACCTATGACATGGTACCCACAATCCTATTTAGATAACGTACCAATGACCAACATGAACATGAGGCCCGATCCAGCCACAGGGTATCCTGGGAGAACATATAGATTTTATAAGGGAGAAACTGTATTTTCTTTTGGAGATGGAATAAGCTTCTCCAAGTTTGAACATACACTAGTTAAAGCGCCAGAATTGGTGTCTGTTTCCTTAGCAAATGATCATCCTTGCAAATCTAGTTCCTCGGAGTGCAATTCACTTGATGTTGCCGATGAAGAACACTATTGCTCAAACTTGACTTTTGATGTTCATCTAATGGTGAAGAACAAGGGCAAAATGAGTAGTGGACACACAGTGTTCTTGTTCTCTAGCCCTCCTGCTGTACACAATGCTCCTCTGAAACACTTGTTGGGATTTGAGAAAGTGCATTTGGCAGGAAAATCAGAAGGGTTGGTTAGGTTTAAAGTGGATGTTTGTAAGGATTTAAGTGTGGTTGATGAAGCTGGGAAGAGGAAAGTTGCCTTGGGACAACATTTGCTTCATGTGGGAGACTTGAAACGTGTCTTGAGCGTGAGGGTTTGATATAAGTTTTCAAATCCTCACTACTGACTTTTTCTCCCCTTTTTCTTTCTTTGTTTTTTTTTTTTGGAATATACTCTCATTGCTTACAAGGGTTTACTTGGATAGTTGGGATGAATTGGAGATAATTGTATCGAAATCATTTGATTTTTTTTTCCAATTATTAATACTAAAAAAATGTCAAATTTATCAAATGAATGTGTTTCTGCTTATATGTTGTTTCTGATATGATAAGGAACATAAGAAAAAGAAGGAGAAAGACATGTTTAAGTTCCAAGTTATATATTTCTGGGTGACTTCCCTTGCTCAATAGATCTGATCTGCTTTTGTTAGCAATCAAGATCGTCAAACTCACGAGTTGTTACACACCGAGTTCATTGAGTTTGCGCCTTGTCAACTTACTCACAAAGAGACTCGGTTAAACTCATTCATAGCTCAAACAAACTCAGTCAACTTGCCATTTTCACCTGACTTTGAGTGACTTGAGTGACTCTTTACCGAACTCAGTGAAAGAAACTCTTAGGCCCCGTTTAGTTGGGTGGAAAGTCCAGATTTTCCCTTTGAAATAATGGAAATGGAAATTAGGTAGCAAATGATTTTACTGGCAAATGATTTATCACAACAATACCCCTTGATTTAAAAAGAAAAAAAGAAAGATTATTTTCAACGCTTAAAATCTCATCACACAATTAGATATGTTTAGGATAAAGAAAACCAAAGCAAATTCAAACAGACTATTCCATGCAAGAACTATTATTTATTCTTTTCTTTTTGGGCCAAAACTTTATTTCATTAAGATTAAGAAATATTTTATTCTTTCATCTGGCAAGCGCTTTTCTTGTATGGTTCTTTGCGGGAAAAAATCAGACTAGCATAATAAGAAAAATATGCATAAGAAAGGATTGTACAAATATGTATTTTACGTCAAAATGTGATTATTAATCAATGGTAATAAGCGAAAATAACTCTCAATAAAATAAAGTAAATGCACGTCTTTGTTATATTGCATGCTAAAAGAGCTAGAGGTACTGAATTAAGGGCAAAAAAATCTCCCCTTGACCGGTTCTCCTTGCTTTCAAGTTAAGCATTAACTTAAAATGCTCTTCAATTTCGTTTATTTTCCCAAACCCTAGATCTCTACCCTCACTCCATCGATGATTCTCTTTTCTGTCTTTCTTCTGCAGAAAAAACAGAGGAGAAGAAAGACCGGGAGAGAAAATTAAATAAGAAGAACACCAACATACAAATGCACGCATGCAGATGTAAGACAAGGGAGATAGATATACATACACACGCACACAATCATATAATTAAAACAATTTAAGAATAATGGGGTTGTTTTATATGTTCTCGTTGGCTCTAACAATTGGTATGGTGATTTTCACGTTGAAATATTTTGCTGGACCTGATGTCCCAAAGTATGTGTTCTTCACCGTTGCTTATACCTGGTTCTGCTCCATCTCCATCATTGTCCTTGTCCCAGCCGACATATGGACGGTATTTCCAATCCGTTATAGTTTTATATTTTAGCTTTATATATTTATATATATGTATATATGATTATACTTACGTACAGTAGTATTCTTGTACTGTTGGTAATTATCTGATAAAACTCGATTCAGTTGAGTTACAAGACATTCTTGTTGACAGCTTTACATATCTGTTTAAAACGTTCATATTTTCATAAGGCAAGGAATTAAAACAAGATAATTTCTAAGGATTATTCATAATATTTGATTTCCTTGGGACTCAAATGTATTATAAAGCTGTTTATATGTGTTCTGAAGGATCCTGATCTTAGTTTTATATAGATTTAAGTGCATTATATTATCTGAAATGCAACCTTATCCTAGTCATTTTATTTCGTGAAATAGACGATTCATGGAGATTATAATGGTGAGATTTCCATCTTGTGGAGTTTGTCATATTGGAGTACGTTCTTACTTACATGGTAAGCTTCTCCTTTATGGAGTTTTCTTCAACGATTACTCATTTAAAACTCTTAATGTTGGTAGATCTGCTTCCTTGAGATCTACATGATATAGATACGACGTTGTTTCGAACCTTGGCCTTACCTGAACCTTAATTAATGAAAATTGGGGGGGGGGGGGGAGTTGATGATGAAGTATAAATAGGTTGGTAGAATTACAAACTCAGAGAGATCTTTGTATTAAATTAATTATTGGTCTAAACAGGGCTGTGGTTCCCACTATTCAGGGTTATGAAGATGCTGGAGACTTTACAGTGAAAGCAAGACTAAAGACAAGCATCCATGGAAACCTAGTTTTCTATCTCTCTATTGGTCTTGTCAGCCTTCTTGGACTCATGTTACTGGTTATTTTCCACACAGATTGGTTTGTTTCTTATATACTTTTGTCCATATATAATCATGCATGAATTTTGGGCTAATTATTATTATTAATTAATGTTTAATTAAAATGTTTTCAATTATTTAGGACAGGAAATATTATGGGGTTTGCGATGGCTTGCTCTAATACATTTGGTCTGGTGACTGGTGCGTTTCTGCTTGGATTTGGATTGAGTGAAATTCCAAGGAGCCTTTGGATTAATGCAGATTGGAACACTCGCCAAAAGGTTCTTTCTCACATAGTTGCAAAAATGGCTGTCAAATTAGACAATGCTCATCAAGACTTTTCCAATGCCATTGTGGTAAGCCACTTCTTAATTACTTCTATTATAACAAAGTACAATTCAATAATGGAATGAAATTATGAATAGAAAAAAACCAAACATGATAGAAGCTAGCACCACCTCCAGTTAGATAATTAAACTAGCACTTCTTCGATCCTAAGGGTGTGTTTGGATGAAAACCAAACTATAGTTTGAAAAGTGATTTTAAGATATACGAAGTAAATATATGAAAGAGTTTGTCTTGATTTGTAAAAAAGTGCTCTTCAAAAGCACTTTTATACGATGCCAAACACCCCTTTAAATGTAGAAGCTAGTTAGTCGATGTATTACCTAAAACTCTTTTCTTTTGTCGGTGTGATGAAGCCATTTGACAAAACTAAACTGTATCAAAACATGGGCATCGGGTATTGTTCAAAAGGGGAAAAAAACAAACTCTTTCCTACTATATTATATTTTGCAGACATATATAATTTGTGATGATGGTGTGCATTACCAGATCACACAAGCAACCTCAAAGCAGATGTCCAAGCGAGATCCTCTGAAACCCTACATGAATGTCATTGATAACATGCTGCTTCAGATGGTAAGGTCTATTATTACTTTGTGCATATGACTACTGGAGTTTCAGAGTTCGTTCAACTAATGCTTGATTGTAATTATTGTTTTTTTTTTTTATTTTCTTAATAGTTGAAGGAAGATCCGTCCTTCAAACCACAGGGAGGGAGATTAGGGGAAAGTGACATGGATTATGACACTGACGTGAAGTCAATGGCAGCACTACGGCGTTACCTTAAAAGATCTCAGGAGGAGTATTACAGATATAGGAGGTATATGCATTAAGGGTTGGGCTGATGGATCAGATATTTATCTTTCCTTCTAGAGCTTTATTAATTTTAAGTTGATTATAGATTGATTGAATTGGCTTAATTGTTTCTTTTTTTTGGCAGTGAATATATAAAGTTCGTCTTAGAAGCCCTGGAGCTGGAGGATACCATAAAAAATTTTGGAGGTCGCAAAAATACTGGATGGTTTGCCCTGAACCAACTTTTGTTACTTTTGATTGTCTTGTCTCCATTGATTAGTCAAGTCTGGATTTTTGGTTTACCGGGGCAGTCTTGTTTTGGATGAGGCTCTTGTAGTCATTATCCCTCTATCTGGAGATAGAAAGGGAGACACCCATACTTCATAGGAAAATTCCGAATATTAAAATCAGTCAAGCCACAAATTTCCTCCTTGGTATCATCTTTAACACCACTCATGGATAAGTGGGATTTGTCAGGATTAGCAATCAAATTAACCTGTAGCTTCAGAAAATTCAGAGAGTGCCTCTATTAAAATTTCAAATGAGTCAACATTTCCTTTACTACATTGAGGTTGAAACTTGAATGGTCTAGCTTTAGCAAAAAGATATAATAATCTATTCAAATGCTCCATATCAAACACAGAAAATAAAGAAGAAATTGGTTCACCTTACCTCATACCTCTTTGACCTTTGAAAAAGCCATGATAAGAATGAAGAAAACGTTGAAGTTTTAATGCACGTCATAATACACTGAACAAATTTGGCAGGGAAATTTAACCCGCTTTGTAATTCCTTAACAAAGCTCCGTGCCACAGAATCATAAGCCTTCTTAATATCTTTCTTCATCATAAATCCAGAAGAGGTACTCATTGACTAACTCTGGCAACACCATTTCCAGACTTTCACAAAAGCATTTTTGAAATACACTTATACAGAGTGTTAGATAATGCTATTGACTAGCTTAAGACAGAAGCATCTTTATTGATTACTTCCAGGATAGCCTCAGAGATGTCATCTCCAATGATATCCCCAGTTGACTTGAAAAACTCACTACTCTAACTATTAGGCTTAATTAGGGCTCTTATCGGATGCAATAGAGAACATGACATCTTTGACATCCTTTTTGGTAAGAGGTTTGATCAATTGACACTGCTGCATAACGTTCAGAGTTGGGCCTTCATTAATGGCTTCAATGGTTCCCAAGATACCTTGGAAATAATTATACAACCACTAACCTTCACTATTCTGAAAAGCATGAATTTTATTCCTTCTCACTCTAGCTTTCAAAATCCCATGGAAATATTTTGTATTAAGGCCCCACATTTCTCAACTGGGCTGCCTTTGCTTTTTGTTTATAGAAACTGCCTGTCATAGCAGTCACTCTAAGATCATTTAAGTGAACTTTCCTTTCTTCCTCCTGTAGTTCAGTATTCCATACATCATTTTGGAGAGGCCCTTTTGAACTTGTTCAAGGATGTTTGGTAAACAATTTCTATAAGACTTCCCAGTTTCGGCCTAGGAGCTTTTAGTTTTACCATTACATGCATTAGTTTGGAGCCGTTAGCCTCACGTCGATCTCCAATGTTCTTAAACCAATGTTTCCAACTTGTCAGATATTAGTCCGTATTGAAAAATTTAAACTGCTTTTCTCTCTTCCTCTACATGGTTTCCAATCTAACCAGCAAAGGGAGTGGTCAGAGATACTTCATTCATGAATAAAACCTCATAATCTTCAAAAAGATCATAACATTTCTAATTCACTAAAACTCTTATCAATTTTTGAGAAAACCCCTGCCTTTTAGATCCGTCAGTGAGCAAGCTTCGATACAGTCTCTGAAATCATCCATTTCAATAGCGTTGATTGTTGAACCTCCAAGGAGATCATCAAAATTCATCAGAACATTATTTGAAATCCTCCATTACAACCCACGGTTCTTCATAGCACTGGCTCATGTGTCAATGTTATACTACCTCTAGTCCGAAATATAAAACCTAATTGGTAGTGCAATTTGTACTATATAAACTAGATCTTCTATTTATGATCAGAGGCAGTATCTTTTCTCTCAGCTGCAGTGTTATAGCCATAGGTGAAAGTGATAAAAAAAATCTCTTCTTCAAAGCTAAAAAAGAGATTACTTCACAATTTATGTATTGGTTACTCCTTACCAGGATGCTTAGTTTCAACTCCTCTTTCTTCCAAGGAATCCCTATTCGTGCCAAAAACTCCTGTCGCAGGATTTAATAGCCCTCTTTCTTAAGTTTAGTTTCTGCAAACTCATGATACCTGTATTATTATGATCACAAAAAACTGAAGCTTCTCTTTGTAGTTATGTCCAACAACGATGTAAACTGAAGCTTCTCTCAAGCCCTTTCTGCATGATACTATAGATAGTGATGATCATAAATGTTTTGAAGAGTTCAAACAAAAGAAAAAAGAAAGAGGTATACACAGACAGAGGGAGACAAATTCTTTGCTGTTATTTCTAGGAATATATTCTAGTGTTAAGGTTTAAGTCAATATATAGGCTAAATCCTCATTAAGATGAACAAAATATTATTTCTATGTAGCTAAATAATTTCACTGCTCTCCTTTTTGCTCATTAGAAAACTAAGGTAATATTCCATCGTTGCATAGGAAATATGTTTCATGCTTCAGGCCTGAACGAACTGGAAGATTGGCTGGAGTTTTGGATACAACTGGTACGCTTTACCTCAAAAAACTTAAATTCAGTAAAGTACACGTAGATTTTGTCTTTTACAGTTCAACTATGTTGGGAACATTTTTACCATACCAACTTTCTACTTTATGCATCAAATAACTTACCCTTAGATTTTGTTATGTTTGGAAGTCTCTCTTCATAGTATTCTCTCTCCTATTTTCCTCTTCATCCAAACCAAGCCTTACAGTGAAACACAGATGATGATGAAGAATCAAGACAGTTAATAGAGATGTTCTTTTATATACATACATAAGTATATATGCCACTTTCTTAATTGATTATCTCTTAATTAATTGTCAGAGTTTGTGTGGAGGTGCATATTGAAGAAGCAACTTGAGAAATCATTGGCAGTGGCATTGGGTTGCATGTCAGTGGCAATTCTATTAGCAGAGGCCACCATTCTACCCGGCGGTGTTGATCTCTCCCTTTTCTCTCTCTTAATCCGTGCTGTCTCAAGCAAAGAGATGCTTGTGCAGGTATAACTCATCATGCCAATTCCAAATTTGACAGATTTTCTTACGTACTAATCCCTTCCCTCTTAAGTGAGGGCCAAGATACTTTGATTTCTTACGTTTTAAGGTATTTCTCACTATCTCATGCATCTTAAGGAACGCTGGTTACATTGTTAAATTTGTCAAAACAATAGTTTAAGATTCCTTTTTTTTTACCCCTTTTAATTGAAAAGGGGGAAGAATATTACCATAGATCTTAAGAAAAGAATTTAATCACCCAAAAGTCCTGCAATATGCGAATGACTAGTTTCAATGGAAAAAAATGACAGCAAGCTGACGCTGGTTACTTATTTGTGAGACTTTTTGATGATTATATTTATTCTTTAGAATCTCGTAGTGATTTTCCAGAAAGAATGTAAACATCAGCATTATTTTTTTTTAATCAATACGCAGCACAAGAATCATAAATGAGTTGTATTGTTTATAGCTTACGAATAATATGACTTATTTTTGGATTTATTAGATTGTTTGATTTGGGCAGTTAGCAGCTTTCATCCCATTGATGTATATGTGTGTCTGTACATATTATTCGTTGTTCAAAATGGGAATGCTCATGTTCTACTCCCTCACTCCAAGACAAACCAGCTCCGTAAATTTGCTTATGATTTGCTCGTAAGTTTCTCTATCACATCCCTCTCTAAATGGATTAATAATAAAGTGGATGACTTGAATGATCTTGATCTAATGTTTTTAATTTCAAATCGCCAAAACATTAAAAGCCTCTTCAAAATGAATCACTTTCCCACATTATAAAAAAAAAAAAAGAGGAAATACGGATAGTGAATAGGTTATTATAAATTATACGGCCTACTATAAATTTTTTTTGCTTCATATTATTATTTGATGATATTGATGATTTGATTATCGGAACAATCATTTTAAAAATTGGCTCTTCTTGTGGCGTGTTTTGTAGGATGGTTGCACGATATGCGCCTCCCATTTCGTACAACTTTCTCAACCTTATTCACCTTGATGGGGGTGAAAAAACCATTTTTGAACAGGTCATTTTCTAGCATTGTAATTACTTTGATAAATTAGCATTTTTTATTAATGATATTAAGATTGAAGAATTAAAAGTGCACTTTATAAACTTAAAGAACTAGAATGAAACTTGGTACAAATATAAATGACTAAACATATGCTTTAGCCTTAATTGATTTATTATTGAGAAAATTATTAACTTGATTGCAACTTAAACTTTAACTTAGTGCAACTTAATCCAACAATTTTGACTCAATTGAATCGCAATGCCTTAATTAACTTTAATTCACTAAAACTCAATCTCTGTAATTTTAACCATTTCAACTTTAGTTTTTAAACTTTATGAACTATATAATTTTATTTTCTAAAATACAAAGATTAATAATTTTAAGTGATTAAACTATAGGGACTGAATTGTGTCGAGCCACTCCTCTGGTCTTATTTATAAATCACTTTTAACATGTTTCATAGAGGTAAAAAAACCTTAAACTTTATTAATTCTCATTTAAAATTTAATAATTTTTCAACTTTATGCCTGTTCAATATATATTATCTCATATAAATAAAAGTAACACAATAATAAATAAAGGGTATATCTATACAAAAATTTTCTCTCATGGCCTTATAAATAGTACAAAACATTGTCTTTTCTCTCTATCCAGTAAATAGGACAAAGGAGTAAATATTCAAGGATCAAAATACCACTGAGTCAAAATTATAAAAATTGAGTCATACCAAGTTAACGTCCAGAGAGACTGAGTTGAAAGGGTGTATTTGGATTGGAAATTTTTTTATCAAACACATACCGATGTTATTTTCTGATTTGAGCAGATTGGAGTTGGTTACATGATATTGATATTCATTGTCTGTGTAGAGGATGGGAAATATTGACGATGCTGTACCTTTCTTTGGGGATGGATTCAACAAAATTTACCCGCTCATTATGGTTGTATACACACTTCTAATAGCAGGCAACTTTTTTAGTCGCATCATTGATTATTTTGGAAATTTGAAGATTTTCAAGTTTTTTAGAGATGATGCAGAAGATATGGATGGTTTTGACCCTTCTGGCATAATCATTCTACAAAAGGTCAGTCCAATTACTGCGATACTATATTTAATTAATGCCAGAAAACACACACACACACACACACACACACATATTAGTTGGAAATACTAGATATAGTACAATTAGTGTAAAAAAAAAAAAATTCACTCCCCCCAATTCTAAATGTAAGAGCTAGTAGAGGAGTATGTTTTCTACATAAATTATTTTAGCCATAAATGTAACATATCAATCTATTTTATTTCATAAATTTATTTTAAAACTCCCCCTGTAGATTGCACTTATTAAGGAAGTTTTGAGTAATTCTTAATCGGAATGATGAAAAGGAATAGTTTCTCATTTTCTTTTCAGAGCGTTCCCTTCTGCAAAAGGGGCACAAGGTTGCGGAGCATGTTTTCCCTCTAGCAAGGAGTTTCAGCATTAGTATTGATGTTGAGTCCACCAACAACAATACCTTGGTTTGTCACTATCAAATTCAATTGCAATATTTAATGGGAGAAATTGCTGAAAATTTTCTCATTATAAAATTTATTCCAAAGATAACCCAATGACTCGTGTCCTTGAGCGAATGCAACTTTTGTTTGGCTGCATGAACAGCAACATATATTCAATTATGTGTACATGTCTTTTGTTTTGCACATAATTGAAGTAAATTACACAAAGCCGAAAAAGAGTTATATTTACTGAAAATAAGTTGTACATGGGTCCATAAGCAAATCTCAGGTGCCTTTAAATAATAAATTTTACAATAGGAAAGCTTTCAACAATTTTTCTATTTAATATCTTATGTAACTCTCCGTTCTCAATACATAATTGCTTTGATATTTAGGATCAGAAAGAGAATATCACTGAGGCTATAAAACACACACAAGTAGCAGTAAGCTGAGATCCACAGATGATGATGTTGATGGGGATGATGAAGAGATGATTCAAAGTGACGAGAGCAAAAGTTTTGAAAGCAGAAAGTACCTTGCGTTAAGGGCAAACGTGAAGGAAGAAGTTCCCATTAATACTAATGATGGTGACAACAATATAAGTTCCCCAACGTTACAAAGAATAGCTTCAAGATGGGAATCCATGAAAAATGGAGTTTCCAGTTTAAGGACCAATAGATTCCTTCCTCTCACTACTCAAGCTCATCAGGGGGGCAACAATACTATTGTTCCTTCCCAATCTTCAAGTGGTTCACTTGATGAAATCTTCGAGAGACTAAAACACCCACCTTCACAATATATAGATTAGTACTAGCCTATTCATTATGTGAATTCAGCACACTTTCTTGTATATTACCTCAACTTCTCTGGTCCTAAATATGTTAAAGCATTTTCAACTATACATTACCTCTGGTCCTTAATATAAGGGCTAGTTTAACTTTTAATTTGGTCCTAAATATAAGATCTTAGTTCATTTTATTTTTCATATTTTTCATTTTTTAAGGTAGTTCTTGTTGTAGTCGCACATGTTAAATATTTTGTTAAATGATAATTCTATCTAATATACTTTATTAGTAATGGTATTTTAAGAAAGACAACATCTATTTATTATAAATAAGTGACTTACTAATTTTCTTAATCTACTTCAATTAGTTAAATAACTTTTATATTAAGGATTAAGGAGGTATATCAAACATCTTTAAAAAACTAGATTTTATATTAAAGACCGAAAGTAGTAACTAAAATATAGTCATTTCAGCCACCAAGATTGAATAGAATTAGTTATCGGATAAAACTCAGGTCAAGTTAATTAGTTTCATTATGTCAGTTTTCAATAACATTGTGCCACCTGTATAAGTTTCAATTAACGCCAATTCTTTCTTTTTCTCAAGAGCTCATGATTGATTTCAGATCATGGGTTCTCCTCTGTAAACACCACATATAATCCATGCGCGGTTACAGATGCTGTTCTTCAGGATTGTTCTCAAGGAATCTGAAGTACTTCTATTACCTAGTTATAATGGTGCTCTGTGTTCTACCCTCTTCCTCTTACATTCTCTTACCGCCATCGGAGTTGCCGCCGCCACCGGTGACGATGACTCTTCTTCAGTCAAGTGCTCTCCCCTCATAGTCGTTCTCGTCATCAGTATCTTCGCAAGTGCTTTTGTCATGATTACCTATTAAAGCATCATCTCCTA